GTGTGTGTGTGTGTGTGTGTGTGTGTGTGTGTGTGTGTGTGTGTGTGTGTGTGTGTGTGTGTGTGTGTGTGTTCTGTGTGTGTGAATAAAGCCCGCGTGCTGCGCATCCACGCTGTGCGATTTGGCTCTGTGTCCGTTCCAACCACCAGCACCATCACGCTTCATTGCTGTTTCCTGCAGACAACAAGCTGCGGCTGACGCGTCAGGAAATTGACGGCGCGCACAAACGGAAACACCTCAAGATCTTCAACCCAAGCGTGAGTAGGGTTGCGTGCGTGCGTGTGTGTGTGTGTGAAGGTGTGTGTGTGTGTGTGTGTGAAGGTGTGTGTGTGTGGTTGTTCGTGCATGCTTGTCGTTGCGTTCACAAGAACAACTCGCTCCTATTCTGTGTGTATGTGGACAACATCCCTCTCAACTGCTGGCTGTTCATTGCTTTTGTCTGTGTGTGCGTGCAGTTTGCGGTGACGCTGTACTTTGACGATGTCGAGTGGGCTAGCAAGGACACAGCAACCACAACAACACAAGACGGCAACGACGACAACGATAACATCAACGACGACGCCACACCAACCACCACAACTGCTGCTACGAACGAAGACGACGACGATGCTAACACCACCACCACCACCACCACCGCGGCTGCCACGGCCACACTGAAGCCGGTGCATCCTGCGAGCATGCGGGTGAAGAGTGGCATTTCACGGACGTCGCGTCCGGGATCGCTGGTGCCGCGAAGAGGGGCGCCGCACGTGTCACCCCCACATGCTCAAGATACACGTGCAGCTGAGGCTGATGCAGGTGAGGCCGAGACAGAGGGTGGTGCAGAGGGCATTGCAGAGGGTGGCGATGATGATGGTGCTGTGGAGGAGCAGGCCACTGCAGACAAGGGGATGGTGAAGGGCGAAGAGGCAGAGCAGCCGCAACAGCAGGAGGAAGAGATGGAAGGGAAGGAGGGCATGCAAGAGAAGGAGGGTCCAGCGCAGGAGTCGTCGCCCACCGATGACCAATGATGGTCGTGTGTGGTGCACATGCTTTCCACGGCGCTCGCTGCCTCGTCCTCGTCTTGTTGCGCGTGTTTGTGTTGTTGTGTTACCTTTCCCTTTTGTCATTCGTGTTATCCACACTCTGTCATATCAGCTTGCGTTCCTCCTTGCGTTTTGTCGTCTGGTGTGAGCGGGAGGTGGGAGTGTTGCGTGTCTTCGCACAGTATAACAGCAGTCATGAGCCGCTTATCGGTGAGTGTATTTGGCACATGAGGACGCAGTGGGCTGAGGGAGCAAACAACAGCCGAGAGGGACAAGTGGGGGGGGCGGCGGCAAGGTTTGTGAACGCTTCAAAGCACTCCAGAGACGAACGCAAAGAGAGCGCGAGCAATGCACAGACGGTTGCAACGGGTAGATGGATGTGCATGGGTAGAAGAGTGCACGCGAGGGAAGGCGGGTGGGTGGGGAAGGCGGGGCACGGGTGGATATGTAATCAAATAGGCGCACACAGACACACAGACACAGACACAGACACAGGTACACACACACACACACAGGCACACACACACACACACACAGGCACACACACACACACAGGCACACACACACACACACACACACACACACACACACACACACACACACACAGACACACACACACACACATACACACACACACACCAACCTTATCGTCCTTGTGGACCTTGAGCTTCTTCTTCAGGCCTTCAAACTCGTTGATGTCCTCGACGCTGAACTCGATCGTCGTGGGCGGTCGTCGCAACATCACGGTCGGTGGTGGCGGTGGTTGTTTGCCGTTGAAAAAACTGCACAACCAACAACAGCTCCCGACACACACACACACACACACACACACACACACACAGACACAGACACACACACAGACACACACACACACACACACACACACACACAGACACACACACACACACACACACACACACACACACACACACAGACAGACAGACAGACACACACACACACACACACACACACACACAGACATACACACACACACACGCACACACACTCACACACACACACACTACGATGAGCAGTACCCTCCAGTTCCAGAGCGCTGAGTGGGCGCTCGTTGCGAAGCAAGTGCTGACACTGCCACTGACAGCAGAACGAGACAATGATGAAGATGATGAAGATGCGAGCTTTGGTGTGATAGACTGTGCTGCACCCTTTCGACCAGATGCCACTGTCCTGAAGCGCAATGCGGCGCGCACCTTCTTCAACCTCATGCTGACGTGCCGCGAACTCTACCATGATCTGCCCTGGGCAATGCCAAAGTGGTGCCTTGCTCACACTTTCCACGTTGGCAGAGGTGTTGGGATCATCCCAGTCACAGACTGGCTCGACACATTCCAAGCCACCCTCACGCCAGCGCCGGCACCCTCGCCTTCCCGGCTTTCCCAGCCTGCACAGCTGCACACGACAGCGCAAGGCAACACCGTGGGTACCCACATCCGCGCGAGACCCTCAGCCCCTACCTCGTCGCCTGAGCTCATGTGGATGGAAAACAGGCTGCTCGTGTACTGCTGGCTCGGGGTTACGTGGGACAGCAGCTGCACCTTCCTTCGCGAGAGGTTGCCAAGACTGCAGGGGGGCTGTACTCGGCAAGACTTCTGGGAGCAGTTTGCGCAGTACGGGAGCATCCGCTTTCTCCAACTGGCGGACATTGAGACGTGGGCAATCGATGCAACCACATTGCAAACACAGCCGCACCACGCGCATGGCCAAGCGGAACAAGACGATGCTGCAGACCAGCCACAGCCCCAAGAACCGCAGAAAGACCACCTGCAGGAAGTACCCCATGCACCTGATATGGCAGGTTCTTCGGCACGCACGGGGGATGATGGCACGGGCTGCGCTGTCCTCCCTATGCCAGCTCTGTTTTATCTTGATGCAACGCTGCACAGTCAGGCAGATGCACAGCGCTTTCACGAGCTCCGCACCACGGTTCTGGCACATGCGCGTGGAGGGTCGCTCCGGCTTTGCGTGGCGTCCCCTTGGTCGTCCTTGTCAGCATACAACATGAACGCCATCAGCATCACTTCTGCAGACGCTGGCATCGACCAGCTTTGCTTACGAGATGTGGGCCGTGTGGAGTGGACTGACGCAGAGAGCCAGCGCAGTGTGCGCGGCGAGCTTGAGCGCGTGGGCCGATTCGATATTCACCACTGGAACGCCGTCGATGATGTGAGTGTGCTCTCAGGTGTCTCAGCTGTCAGGCTGTCCTACAACGAGCACCAGACGCGTGACCTGACACCACTGCGTGGTGTGAAGAAGCTGATCCTGCGTGAGCCGCCAAGCGGTACAGGGCAGGAGGTGATCGCAGCAGCACAACACCTGCAACTATCAGACATGGTGCTTGAGGTTAACACGCTCACTGCCAAGCGCATCAGGCTGTCCGAGATGATCAGCGTGCCAGATGTCCTGCACCTACCCAACGCTACACACATCGAGTTGCTTCGTGGATGCGCAGTGAAGCAGTTCACGTGCCCGCCCCGCATCAACGCGCTTGCCATTCACCGTTGTGATTTCATCTCCATGCCCAACTTCGAGCACGCAGACGTGGTGACACTTTGGACCCCCCTCACGCGAGAGCAACTGACTGACTTGGGCAACCGCGTGGACAGACTCGAGCTGCATTACTGCGTTGAAGATATGGCCCCGCTGCGCGACATTCGACATGACGCGTACGTGTGTCTGACAAACGCTGTCGTCGACTCCCGCGTTCCACCGTGCGTGAAGGAATTGCATGCATTCATCTTCGGGGGTGTGCAGTGCGCGTTCCTTCGCACAGTGCCAATGTTGAGCATGACTGGCGGGCTGGAGGATCGCATCCACGATGTGCACCTCCTCTCCGGGCGCGCGTACCTCAACATTGAACAGGGCTGCGTTGACGGCGAGATTGCAGACTGTGACCACGTGCACCTCCATCATTGCTACGGAACAGCCCGCCTGACATCGATCAACACCCTCAGCATCACCTGTGCAACCCTGGCGCCTCCTCCCACTGCATCCAACACCGATGACACGATAGATGATCACATTGCGTGTTTCGCGGGTGGTCCAAAGCTGCAGATCCGATGTCTGTTACACGTGGCCAACTGCCGGCTACACAACTGCGAAATCAACACCTTCACGTGCTTTCGCAACGTGCAGCGTGTTGCTCTTCGTCGCTGTAGGTTCGACTGCTTGGACAGCATCCCGCCCTTCACGTCCCTCAAGCTCCACAACTGTACCACAACAGACAGAGCGTGGCAGTGGCCTGACATTACCGTTGTGGGCCGGCCCCCACAAGAGGTGCAAGCGTTGCTGCTGGCAGGCCGAACCGAGAGAAGGGCAATGTGGAAGGGAGCCAAGTGACGTTACAGCGAGGCAAATGTTGGTCGGTCAGTTGCTGATGTCCTCGTGATGGCTGCTGTGTTGTTTGTCGTGCGAAGCCCACTTCTGAGAGGTGGTTGTTGTTGCGTGACATGTTGTTGCCGATGGGTGGTCGGGCTGCTGGCTCCTTGTTGGCAAGTTGGTTGTTTTTCGAGTTGTGCTATCGTCTTGATTTGTGGCTGCCATGTCCACAGCGCATGGCATATCGCTTGTCTGCGTCTTGTCATGTCACATAAAATAACCTGCGTCAGTCCCTCTGAGCTCAGCACGATCCTCAAACGTGAAATGAGAACAACTGCCGCAACAGCTCGCGCCTGTGGTCTGGCACCTTTATTCTTCCAGCACAGCAGCATGGACACGACCACAGCAGGCGAGGAGCATAAGCAGGAACACGATGACACGAGACTGGGCATTGTCAAACTGAAGAACTGAAGAACTCACTCCACAAGAACAAGAGAGAACACGCAACTGCTGTCCTAAAGCTCGACCTGCGCGATCAAACCGCACGCTCTTGCATGGTGATGTGGCTTCACAAGCAGCACAAGGCATCAGACCTGAACGCCAACAACAAGAGAACAGGGGCAAGAAGCGAGCGTTGAACCAACCAAGCGTCATGAGCACGAACACAACGTACAGCCTCACCACCACCACCACCAAACAGCCAAACATTGATCTCATGTCTGAGGATGTCACGTGTACGTGAGCACGTGTGTGCGTTTGTACAGTACACGCGGTCAGCAGCCAGGGTCGATGAGTAGCACATCCCCAGCGACGTGTGGAATGGCGTAGATGAGGCCATTGCTTGCGAGGACACCTTCATGCCACTTGTCGATGCCAGAAGTGACTGGAAGCGACGTGGTGTCGGTGGTGTTGGTTGCTGGGTCGATGATGAGGACAGATTCCGCATTAAGCGGGATGCCGAAGATGTTGCCGTTTGGTGCAAGCACGCCGCCGAGCCACTTGGAACCGTCGCTCGAGAGGCCGGTGATGGCCGTCGTGTCGGCCGTGTTTGAGGTGGGGTCGATGACGAGCACTGTCGTGGCGGATTTCGGAATGCCGTAAATGAGACCGTTCCGCGCGAGCACGGTGCCAAACCACTTGCTGCTACCTGTCAACCCAGCAATAGATGTGGTGTCTGCGGTGTTCCTGGCTGGGTCGATGATGAGGACGGCGTTTGCGCTGTGTGGCACGCTGTAGATGAGCCCGTTGGCGGCTTGAACACCCCCGAACCATTTGAAGTAGTCCCCACCAAAGCCAGATATCGTCGTGACATCTGTGGTGTGGAGAGT